GCTAACGGCTAACGAATTCAACCACATCTTAGCTTTATCCCATAGTGAGAAAGAAAATAACCTTAGTCTTATGACATCATCTGAAACACCATCGTATTTAATTGTAGCACACAATTCTAGAAAATTGGTAAGTAAGATGTAAATTTGGATCTTCTATAATAGCAAGTTCAAGCTCAAATGAATTAGCCACTATTGCAGGTTTTTGAATACTACAATGAAAGATCATTTTGATTAGCCATTGTACAGCAAGATTAAGCTAAAATTCATCTACAGGAGGGTTGACATAATCTCTTAAAAGTTAAACTCTTGATGAATTTCAACATTTTGATTATTTTGGTTTTCCATTTAAGCAATTTTTTTTTTATTTTTCAAGATTTTTATTTTATTTTTTGGTTTTTCTGATTTTTCTAATAGTTCTTTCTAATTTAGAATCGTAGGGCACTAGTTCTTCAGAACTTGAACTACGCATACACTAACATAAAATAAAATAAAATAAAACATTCAAAATAAGATACAATATTTAAAGTTTAATTAAGATTGTCTGAAAATAGAAATTTACTTGGTTTGAAACCCGAGAGGCAACGACGCCAAAAACTTGATCCCGACTTAATGCTTATGCACATTATAGCAATAGTTCTTATGGTATTTTTCACTTATATTTTCTTATTTTGCAACCAAACCAAAAACATGATCCTGAAGAAAAATAAGAATTTAATTTTCTAATTTATATATATTTATATTGGGATACTACACAAGTATACATATCGTTATCAAGTAATATAAGACTTTTTGATTAAGACCCGAATCTCGAACCCACAGAGAAGATTATGCAATGTACACTTTTTTATAAGTTTTTTTTATTTTTTAAGAAGATAATTACTTAAACTAAAAATGATTTTTGCAGGAATTTAAAATTTAAAGGTTTTTGGTATTTTTGATATTTTAACGAAACAATAACAACTTAAAAAGATAACTAGTTTTTGTAGAAGAAAAGTACTTAATATGAAAATATTTTTCTTCTTTTCTTGAATCAGTAATAAGTGTAGGAATTTTGTTATGGAAGTTTTCTTTAGGTTAGATGATGCAAATATTTTTAAATAGATAATATTTTTTACCCTTACTAGAGATGCTATAAGAATATTGGCTAATTTAAAGTTTGAATTGTTCTGAAGACCGGCTAGGCAGGGAAGATACTAGCTTTCACTCTAGAGTTCCCTCCATTCCCTCCACCTCGGGCTAACATTCTCATACCAGAACCTAAAATAATAAACCAAGTTGGGGGCTTTAACCTATCACGTTAAAGTCCTCTAACTCTACACCCATCAATGAATATTTCCATATTTATTTGCACCTAATCATATGAACTACATTCTCATTCATACAACCTCATGTGATTCTTTTCAATTGTTGACTGAGACAATACCAGTCTGGTTCTTACATGTTCTCACAACAACATTTAACATCTAGATTGGCCAAATCAAGAAG